TTGAGGTGGGGATTGCTGGGAGGTCACAATGTCGGGATTGTTTGGGATGACAGTTCCGGGAGAGCAGGGCTGAGATCACACATCCAGTGTTCTGAGCAACCCAGAACCAAAAGACATCAGACACCAGACCCCTCAGTGGTGCAATTGTTGGGACTTTCTCTACAGGTCCATTGACCCTGTTTTTTAAATGAAAAGTCAGGACACGTGGTAAATGTCTATACTTACGGAGTTTATGGTGTCAGAATATTTGAGACCAGAATGTCCTGGAAAGTCTAGAATATAGGCTCATTTTAGCACCAATGATCCCAAAAGATCTTATAAAATATTTCTTTCATTCTTTTGTTGTTGTTTTTTATCTTCACCCTAGTATTTTTTTCCATTGCTTTCCAGAGAGAGAGAGGGAAGCATTGATGTGAGAGGGACACATCAATTGGTTGCCTCCTGCTCTTGCACCGATGGAGGCTGGGGATCGAGCCTACAACCAAGGTACTTGTTCTTGGCCGGAATCGAACCTGGGATCCTTCACTCCGTGGGCCAGTGCTCTAACCACTGAGCCAAACCAGCTAGGGCTATTTCTTTCGTTCTTAACAATCCACCTCACTCTTTGTGAAATCAGAATTCTTTTCCGTTTCTGGATGGGTGTGAAGAGAGAGTACAGTGGCTGAGAACAGGGACTTTGGGATGAGCATCCCTCTGTGGAACTCTCTGTGTAAGCCGGACAGTCTCTTGGTTCCTCAGTGTCCTCACCTGAGACCTTGGACTAGTGCCCACCCTGAACTCATGGGCTGTGAGGATTGAAGAGGCCACATGTGCCTGGCATACAGCGAGAACTCAATAAATGATAGCTATTTGTGGTAGGTAATGGGGGAAATATACTTATAAACGTCAGATGTGAGGCGGGAAGCAACATTGGTGGTTAACCCATCGAGGACAGGCTCACTGGGGCACCAGGCTAATATTTGGCAACAGTACAGGAGGTAGCTGGGTTTTCTGAGGCCATATGGCTCCTGTACAAAGGGAAAGGGGATTTTAAAAAATAGCAAATTTGCATTATGGAAAATTCCAGCCATATACTCAAGTAAAGAGACCAGTATAAAGAACCCCTATATACCCATCACCCAGCTTCAAAAATTAACATTTTGATAAATCTTATTTCATGTACCTCCTTCCCCACCACTCTTCACCCCCTACCATGAAGTGTTTTAAAGCAAATCACAGATATTATTATTGTGCCTATAAATCATATGTATCTCTAACAGATTACATTTTAAATATATCAACCTAAAAAAATGAACAATCATTCTTTAAAATCACCTAATACTAGGGTGATCATATGTCACGGTTTGGGGCAGACCAAATTTATGCTAGATGCCAAACATAATTATTAGTAGCACTCTAGAAAGTCTTGTTGGTGGCTGTGTCTTCCAGCCTTTCTCTCCTCTGTGCTCACCTGTGCCTGTATCTCCACTCTGATGTGCACACATACATCCTTCATTTTCTCATCCTAACCCAGTTTATCTTCTCTAAAATGTGTCCAGGAACCATCTGTATAAATTCCCCAGGCTGGAGAAATTATAGGTGCCTCCTTGATGTGTTCTGAATTCATATAAAGTGTCTTCCAAAGATTTGTGGTTTTCTCCGGAGGCTGCAGCAAAATGTCTACCAATTTTCTGGTTTGTATTTTACAATTTAGGAAAGAGTGAGAAAGCAGGACGATTCAGTGACAGCAACTGACGAAATCCCAACTAAATAGAAGATTGTCAAGGAAATTCAAAGCATTACATTTTCTTCCCATGTTTCCCCATCTGAAACCTATATAGCTGTGGGAGAACCAGAACTAACCTGGACGCCAGGCTTTGCCCTCAGTTAGCTGAGTGAACTCTATCCC